CATCATAGGCAAAAGCCTGAGGGCACTACAGGCATGAGTCCCTGACTGCCACAGCCCAGTCCAGGGTCTGGGGCCACCAACACCATGCCCCCTGCAGTGCCACTGTCTGCCACGCCGGCAGCCAGGGCCATGTGTGCACATTGGGTCCCTCCCTGGGCCACCACCTCCAGGCCAGCTGACTCAGATTAGCTTGCCTACTCCTCACTGCTCCGAGGCAAGGACAGCGGCAGGGGCACCCAGGGGCAGCTGCGGCATGTGGAGCCTGCAGGACTGGCCTGGCAGGTCCCCGCACCCTCCCCGTCGATCTGTACCCACCACTCAACCCAAGACTTGGCCCCAAAAAAACAGAGCAGCCAGAAAAGGAGACTGGTTCAGAGAAAGCCTGGTGCCTGTGTCTTTAAGTCCCAGCAGCCACAATATTGAAAGGCTGGGTGGGGTCTCGCAGCCGCCCCCGGCCCAGCTGCTGCACCGCGCCCAGTCTCACACAGGCCTGTCTGTCCGCTTTCTCTCTTTAGCAGATTTAAAAGAAGCGAATGGGACAGATTTTAGCAAGTGAAATGAGTCCACTACACTCACTGCTCCAACATTTGCTCCTGGCTGGCTCACCAAAGATGTAACTGGGGGAGGGAGCAGAGGTATCCCAAAGATGCTTTCAGTTCCCCTGATACAATGTTTTCCCCAATGTGCCCAGGTCCTTGGCCTCTCTTGCCCCAGGAATGCGGAAAGGGGCTCTGGAGGCACAGTGAGCTTTCCATTCGAATAAATATCATGAACCCAAAGAGTTTAGCAGAGTGATTTTTTAGGTAGAGAGAGAGAGAAAGTGAGAGAGCTCCCACACTGCCATGGGAGGGGATCCAAGGGAGGAATCGGCACAAGTAGGATCAGTGGGTTTTTAACTTTGGAGGTATTCCTGCCCCATTCATGTTCTCGTGCACTGAGAGGAGTTATTTCAGACTTCTGCTGGAGTGATTGATCGTCGACTTTAATATCAGATTGGCTGCTAGGTCTGCAACAGAGGCCCTTCCTCCCAGAGCTTTTCACAGGCTTTTTTGAACAAAGAAGCATACCTGGAATTTCTGCCTATCCCGCACGGGAAAGTCAGACAAAGAACTTTACATTCCCAGATGGGGACGTGGATGGAGGCATGGCTCTGGGAAGCTCTTGCCTTTGAAACCACACCCCTTGGGGACTCAGTTTTCCTTAACACAGTCCCTCACAGATACCTGTTTGTTATACTGATTTTCTTTCTTTGGGTCATATACTCAGCAGTAGGATTGCTGAATCATATGGTAAGCTCTATTTTAAGTTTTTTGAGGAATTTCCAAACTGTTCTCCACAGTGGTTGTACTAATTTGCATTCCTACCAACAACGTATGAGGGTTCTCTTTTCTCCAAATCCTCACCAGCATTTGTTATTGCCTGTCTTTTGTATATAAGCCATTTTAACTGGGGTCAGATGATATCTCGTTGTAGTTTTGATTTGCACTTCTCTGATGATCAGTGATGTTGAGCACTTTTTCATATCCCTATTTGCTGTTTCTATGCCTTCCTTTGAGAAATGTCCTTTCAAAATCTTTTGTCCATTTTTTAATCAAATTATTGTATTTTCTCCTACAGTCCTGTTTGAGCTACTTATACATTCTTCTTACTAATCTCTTGTCAGATGGGGAGTTTGCAAATATTTTCTCACATTCTCCTTGGCTTCCTAGGTATTTCATTTTCTTTGTGGCTGTTGTAAGTGGGATTGTGTTCTTGATTTCACTCAGCCTGGAATTTGTTGGCAGATAGAAATGCTACTGATTTTTATACAATGATTTTGTATCCTGAAACTTTACTAAGGGTGTTTGTCAATTCTAGGAGACTTTTGGCAAAGTCTTTAGGATTTTCTAGGTATAGAATTATGTCATCAGCAAAGAGGGATGGTTTCACTTCTTCTTTTCCTATTTGGATTCCTTTTATTTCTTTCTCTTGCCTGATTGCTCTGGCTAAAACTTCCAGTACTGTGTCAAACAGGAGTGGTGAGATTGCGCATCTTGGTTTTGTTCCAGTTCTCAAAGGGAAGAGTTCAAGCTTTTGCCCGCTTAGTATGATGTTGGCTGTGGGATTGCCATAGATGGCTCTTCCTATTTTGAAGTATGTTCCTTCAATGCCTAGTCTATTGAGGGTTTTTAACATGAAGGGATGTTTAATTTTATCAAAAGCTTTTTCTGCATCTATTGGGAAGATCATTTCATTTTTGCTTTTGATTCTGCTTATGAGGTGAATCACATTTATTGATTTGTATATGTTGAACCAGCCTTGCATTCCAGGAATAAAGCTTACTTGATCATGTTGTATTAGCTTTTCAATATGCTGCTGGATGTGATTTGCTAGTATTTGTTGAGGATTTTCATATCTATATTCATGAGAGATATTGGTCTAAAGTTTTCATTTTTAATTGAGTCTCTACCAGAACTGGGTATCAGGTTGATGCTAGCTTCATACAGTGAGTTAGAAAGAAGCCCCTTACCTTTGATTTTTTGAATAATTTCAGTAGGATTGGTATCAGTTCTTTGTATATCTGGTAGAATTCAGCTGTGAATCCATCTGAGCCAGGGCTTTTTTTTTTAAATACTTTAAATTCTGGGGTACATGTGCAGAAGGTGCAGGTTTGTTAAATAGGTATACATGTGCCATTTGTGGTTTGCTGCATCCATCACCCCGTCATCTACATAAGGTATTTCTCCTAATGCTATCCCTCCCTTATCAACCCACTCCCAATATCCCTTCCCTAGTCCCCCCAACCCCTGCTATCCCTCCCCTAGACCCCACCCCCCAACAGGCCCTGGTGTGTGATGTTCCCCTCCCTGTGTCCATGTGTTCTCATTGTTCAACATCCAACTTATAAGTGAGAACATGCGGTGTGTTTGGTTTTCTGTTCTTGTGTCAGTTTGCTGAGAATGATGGTTTCCAGGTTCATCCATGTCCCCACAAAAGACTTGAACTCATCCTTTTATACAGCTGCATAGTATTCCATGGTATATATGTGCCAGATTTTCTTTATCCAGTCTATCATTGATGGGCATTTGGGTTGGTTCCAAATCTTTGCTATTGTGAGCAGTGCCACAATAAACACACATGTTCATGTGTCTTTATGATAGAATGATTTATAATCCTTTGGGTATATACCCAGTAATGGGATCTGCGTCAAATTGTATTTCTAGTTCTAGATCGGTGAGGAATCACCACACTGTCTTCCACAATGGCTTAACTAATTTATACTCCCACCAACAGTGTAAAAGTGTTCTTATTTCTCCACATCCTCTCCAGCATCTGTTGTCTCCTCATTTTTTAATGATTGTCAATCTAACTGGCATGAGATGGTATCACAATGTGGTTTTGATTTGCATTTCTCTAGTGACCAGTGATGATGAGCTTTTATTCATGTTTGTTGGCTGCATTAATGTCTTTTGAGAAGTATCTGTTCATATCCTTCACGCACTTTTTGATGGAAAAACATTCCATGTTCATAGTTAGGAAGAATCATATTGTGAAAATGGCCATACTGCCCAAAGTAATTTATACATTCAGTGCTATCACATCAAGCTATCATTGACTTTCTGCACAGAATTGGAAAAAACCACCTTAAATTTCATATGGAACCATAAAAGAGCCTGCATAGCCAAGGCAATCCTAAGCAAAAAAAAGGCTGGAGGCATCATACTACCTGACTTCAAACTATACTATAAGGCTACAGTAAAAACAGTATGGTACTGGTACCAAAACAGAGGTATAGACCAATGGAACAGAACAGAGGCCTCAGAAATAACGCTGCACATCTACAACCATCTGATCTTTGACAAACCTGACAAAAACAAGCAATGAGGAAAGGATTTCCTATTTAATAAATGGTGTTTGGGAAAACTGGCTAGACATATGCAGAAAGATGAAACTGGATCCCTTCATTATACCTTATACAAGAATTAATTCCAGATGGATTAAAAAATTTAAACATAAGACCTAACATCATAAAAACCCTAGAAGAAAATCTAGGCAATACCATTGAGGACATAGGCATGGGCAAGGACTTCATGACTAAAACACCAAAAGCAATGGCATAAAAGCCAAAATAGACAAATGGGATCTAATTAAACTAAAGAGCTTCTGTATAACAAAAGAACTATTATTAGAGTGAACTAACAACCAACAGAATGGGAAAAAAATTTACCAATCTACCCATCTGTCAAAGGGTTAATATCCAGAATCTATAAAAACTAAAACAAATTTACAAGGGCTTTTTTTTGTTAGTGTGTTCTTAATTACTGATTCAATTTCAGAAGTTGATAGTGGTCTACTCAGGGTTTCAATCTCTTCCTGATTCAATCTTGGAAGATTGTATGCTTCCAGGAATTTATCCACTTCCCCTAGATTTTCTAATTTATGTGCATAAAGTCTTGAGCCCTCATTTTAAACTGCACTTCTTCAAGTGCAGTGTTGTTTCTTTGGAATGTTCCATTGTAATTTTAAATTACCTTTAGTAAGATTTTGCTATTTCTAAAAGTGTTTGCTGTTTCCAGGACCTAATACTTACACATGTAAATGTGGGCATAGCCAGAAGGTAGATTGCTCAGTTCTTAAGAAAATAAGGATCCAATTTTTACCTTGAATCTTAGCTTTAAGTCTCATATCCTCTTAATCAACTTAGCCAATAATTTTTTCCTACATCAGCACACAAGAAAAACAAAGGTGGTAGAACACAAAAGTCCCTATAAATTTCCAAAGCCAAAGTTGGCATCTCCTGAAATATTGCCATTTTCTACCGGTTTCTGTCTGACCCATTCAGACATAAGAGGCCTCTAACTAGATCCAAGCCAGTTAATTATCAGATTCAGTCAGATTCTGGACCCAACTCAGTTTTTTTGTGACTTTCAAACCTAGTTTCGATCAGAAATTTGCTCAAACAAACTCAGAGAGCTCAAAACACAAATCTGTCACGCTTCAAATTCTAAGAGAGGACTTACCATGATCCCCAGTTGCTGTGAAAGAGCAGTGGACACAATGTGTCCTACAGTTACCTCGCTTGGTCACTCGATGCTCCTGGGGGTCACTGGAAGCTCTACTTTAGATTCCTCTTCTGACACCATCTGTTAAAAAAAAAACAACAAAAACCCTTAGACAAATTAAATTTAACAGAATTTAACTGAGCAAAAAACGATTTGCAAATCTGGCATCTGGCAGCAGCCTTAGCCAGTAAGCTCAGAGAGACTACAGTGCAGCCGCATGGTGGAAGATTTATGGTCACAAAAATGAAAGTGACATACAGAAAATGGAAGTGAGGTAAACAAACCCAGATTGGTTACAGCTCATTGCCTTATTTGAACATGGTTTGATTTGCCATTGATTGGCCAAAACTTTTTGACGAGCACAAGGGTAGATTACTGTCTATTTAAACCTGCATTGAAGTTACTGTTCACTATAGGCCAAACTTAAAATACGTAAGGAAGCAACTTTAGGATAAACTTGATTTAACAATATTACATGTGCCTATGTGTATATACATGTGTGTCTATGTGAATATCAATATAAATATATATATCCTCTAAGATATTGGCACTTCAGTGAAGTAGTTACTAAATAAAATTTTGAGATATAAAACAATGGATTTGATTAGTTTAGAAAGCAGAGAAAGTTAACAGAGCTAATTCTAACATGAATACAGTTGTTTATCATGTTCGATGTGAAATTAGAGTCAACAAACCCATGTTTTTTAGAATTCACTCACTCTAACTCTGTATAACTAATTGGCTTATTATATTAAAGTTGCTTTTAATTTCATTTTAACTCTAAATAATTGTTAATTCTGGAATTTTTTAATGTTCAATTAATTTAATGTTGTTAAATTCAATGATAATGTTATTGCTTCTATTTTCTATGTGCTTAACATTTCTCTAAAGCTGAGCAGGCCTTATCTTCCACTGTATTTCAATTTATGCAGATAGGCTTCAGTTATACAAATAGATACTTGAAGAGAACAACAGAAAAATACACAAGAATGTACACAATACACATATAAATGTATCATCTATTTACAGAATGACAGACATTGCAATTGAGTTCATATGCTAGATACATCAAGTTTATTTACATGTCATTTAATAAATAGAATGGAATTCTTCCTATGCACAGTAAACATTTCCCTGCCCTCTAAATCAGGATATTCCACCCATAATTTGCTTATCTCATTGTGCTCTAATACATTGACACTCACAGAGTATACGACAGTTGTCTCTATATTAGATCATTCCAGTTAGTGATGCTAATGTTCTTGCTCAGCTTTTCATAGGTTTTTATTTCTTCAACTTTAGAGATACAGTTCAAGACAACAGTCATTTCTTGCTGCTATTCTCTGCCAGATAAGTCAATATAGTACAATGTGAGAGTCTAGGCTTTGCATCCAGATAGACTTGAGCTTAAATCCTGTCACCTGTTGACTAGATACATCGCTTGTCTGACTGTAAAGTGGAGATGATAATATCCACCTCCGTAAGGTTTCTTCTTACAGGTGATAACAGTAAAAATATGCAGTACCTGCCACCTATTAGGCTTTCGATAAATATGTGTCTCTTGCCACCACCCTCCATAACACCCACACCACCCAACACTCACCCACATCCATCCCCTTCTCATACTTTCCTTCCTGTCATCTGTGAACTGGGCGACTACATAACCAAGATTTGAATTTCACCTAAAACAAAGACCAATTATCATAATCAAAGTATTTATTTATTCTGCATATATACTATTAATTAGCAAAACAAAGAACATAAGCTTAAAGGCTGATCTATTTGGACCTTTAGGTAGGTAATATTTGAGATGGTCCTTGAAAGTTGATGGGATTGACTGAAAGACATATGTAGAGAAGCATTCTGTACACAGGAAACTGTTTCAGGCCTAAAGCACAGCACAGAATAAGGAATGATTCAATTTGTCTGTAATACAGGGTGTATGTGGTAGAAGATAAAACTCAAGAATGAATATAGGCATGTTTTATCAAGGATTTTGAGTACCAGGTTAAGAAGTTTGATATTATGGAAAATAGGAGTTATTGATATTTTCTAAGCAAAGGAGTTTTGTTTTAGGAGGATTTCTCTGGCGTTAGCATTTGGGATATATTAGTGCTGGGAGAAACAAAAGTGAGAATTTCATTTAGGAAGTTATTAGACTGGTTCAAGCAAAAAGTAACAAAGCCTAACTCTCACACATTACTAGTGGTAATGTAAATCAGTACAATCTCTCTGACAGGCAGCTTATCAGCATCTACCAACATTACAAATGCACATACTGTTTTCCTTAGCCATTCCACTTTGAAGAATTTACCCTCTCATGTATTTTCAAATGAGTGAAGTGATAGATATACAAAGTTATTCATGATAGCATAAAACCTTAATAAGAACTTGAGTAAACTTATAGCACATCAATAGTAACAGAATTACAGCATGTATATACAATAAGAATGGGGAAGTCCCGTATGTACTAATTAGAAAAATCTCTAAGATGTTCTAAATTTTTAAAAATCAATGTATAAAACTGCGTACCATTTGCTTCCATTTGTGTTTTAAAAATAAAAAAAAATTCTGGAAGAATTCACACACACACACACACACACACACACACACACACACACGATATTGGTGGCTTCTTGTTGAATCCAAAATAAATATTAAAAACAATAAGGCCTAAAGTCAAAGTGAAACTTGTAAGATTGGATAGATAACTTATTAGAGGTTGATAGTGGGAGAAAAATTATAAAGGAAGAATATGGACTTACAAGAACAGAAATTTGTAGAAAGCCTAGTTTTGAATAGTATTATGCCATGTTACAGCATGAAGCAGATGGGTATAGATTTGCATGCTTTAAGCAGAAAGAAAATTTAAGTAATCTGTTTGGAGAATATAATTGTCATCCCAATTTTGCCAAACAGGCACCAAAATGCTTGGAGATTTATTGTTTAACCCAAAGTCACACAAGTGATGCTGTAGTTAAAAACAAAAAAACTTATTTCAAACTAAAAGTTTTAAGTAAAGCTTCAATGGAACAGATATTTAGACAAGTATAGAAAATTGCCTTCACAGCTGCAAGTGCCCTCTTTCTCCCTCACCAGTTACCCATGTACCTTCCCTAATAAGGTGAATTTTCTTATTCAGCAGGAAATATTCCCTAGACATTGGTGTTTAATGAAACCATTTATTAAAATCTTTGCAATTCTTCAAACTTCTAACATATCTGAGGCTTGACCAATTGTGATAATATTCAAGCAAAGATTTTTAGAAATTTTCCCTTAAGTCAGTATGAAATTTTGACATTTAGTCAAGACTAAATCTGTGCTTCAGATTTCATAACCTCATTAAGTGTCCTTGTGCCTCTTATGTGCAGTTCTGGCTACTTACTATTATGTGAAGGGTTAACATTTCTAAAAAGAAAACATTTATAAACCCTAGTTCTTTTTCACATGCTGGTTTAGCTACTTCCTCAGATAATTTACTTTCAGTAAGTATAACCCTCCATTATATAACAGTATTAACTTATAGATTGATTTAACTATCAATAAGTTATTTAAAGGAGTTATAATTTAAAGCAAGAATAACAAATAATAAACCAAATGTGAGTCTACCACTGCAAAATTTTTAATAGATATCTGGTTTAGTTATAGGCTTTTATGAACTTCTCACCTTTTATCCCCAGAGCTAGAAACTTCTATCAGGGTATTATTTTCACTGCAGCTCCAGATGCCAGCAGCTTTGGCAGTAGGTGTCCTCTAGTGCTGACTCATAAAGGTTTGAAATTTTTTATATTTCTGGTCTTTCCCCCATCTCTATAGACATGCCTTTCTAGGTACTTTGCTTGTAATTAAGTCTTTATACAGTACCTTAGCTGACTCTTGTATCTGGGTCAGTCTTCTCACACCTGCAAAGTCCTAGGAGAACTACTTCACTTAGATTTTCTTTGTGCTAAACTTTATTTCTTAAAATGTCTTATTTCAGTCAAAACAGATGTGGCTTGCATAGGCCCAGTCAAGCCCCAGTATTTTCTCTCTAATAAAGGAATAGTTCCTGGGTGACTTTGTTAATATCTAGCAAGTGTTTATTCTTTAGTATTGTTCTTTTTGTCCTTTGAGTCTTTACTTTCTACTTAAAGAACTCACTTTCTATACCAAATTAGTACTCTCAAAATTTTTCAACATTTCACAAACCACTTCATTAGAGGGTCTGTCTTAAAATAAATAATTTTTTTAGAACTGTAAATGTTTGAATATTTAGAAACTTAACAATTGATCACTAGCTTTTTTAAGCCTAGCATTTTTTAAAATCACAAAATAAATCTATTTGTTTGGTATTTTGATACCCCTCTCCCCCCAGAGTGAATTCAGCCTTATGAGTAGATACAATTAATTGAAACCTCCTCATAGTGAAGCTAATCTTTGTGATTACCTAAATTTAATTCATTCACATGAGCCCAAATCAAATTTTCACGTGGGTCAATTTTCTCAAAGGATTTTTTTCTAAATTCTGTCAGGTTTTTTAAGTTAAATTAAACACATTTAGAGATGTTTAATTATCTTCCTATATCTATTATGTTGTAGAGGCAGTGGTTTAAAATGAAGAAGCAAAGTGTTTTCTGATTGAAAACAAAGATGTTTTCGTTGCAAAATTGAATATAACCTTTGTGCTACACTCCTGCTTAAAAAATGATTTCTATTAATCATTTTTAAATCTATCACAAGATGTAACTGTGTTCATTATCTGTCACTTTCTAACTCTAACAGAACAGGAACAGCTATTGTCTGGTCTCTAACTGCAATAGGATCTTTCAGAGTAATATAGAAAGAACATTAGAACAGCATGAGCAAAGATATACACTTCAAAATTAATCGAAAATTAGTGATCTGAGAACTGGAGACATTCTCATGACATGTAAATATTTGTTCAGCAGCTAAAGTAATAGCCATGCATTAAACCAATAGAAGTACTTTTGACACCTAACAAAAATGTTAATTGATCATCAATCATTAGCTTATAATAAAAGGGCTGAACTTGCAGTTCTGAAAGTATAGCCAGAAAAATTAAGTGAGAGACATTAATGTTATAAAAAAGACAAACTTCTCCAAGCTAAATTGCTTTAAAGTACATTGACCTCATCACTGTACCTTTGAAACCTGTCCCTAATTGAGAGCAATTGATTTACCCTTCCAGCTTTCCTTTAAAGCCTATCAGATCCCAAATTCTAAATGTTAAAAGCCCTTTGCCAAATTATTCTGCAATTGAGCTTTCCTTTGAGATTCTGAAGTGATGACTAAGGCACAAGCCAGCTAGAAAAACAGTACTCAAAGAATTTAAAGCTTAGAAATTAAGGTGACATCTTTTTTCTCCTCCTGGAGAAGGTGATAAAGTGAAATTAATTTTTAGCATAAAATAGTTGTAATAGCACAAAAATATAAAAGATAATAGACACCAAAAAGTGCTGTGGGAGGGACAAACATGCCAAAATTTCTAACATCTACCCACATCCAGAATAAAAAGGTAAAGTTCCTGGAAATTAAGCAGGATTTGTGCAGAGGACTTTTGGCAAGAGTCGTGCTATATGGTGAGCATGATCCGACCACCCTCTACCCATGGGAGAACAGAGGGGTGGC